TGCTGCTGTGAAAATTAAAAAAAAAATCACTCCATCTTTAGTATCTTTGGTGTTACCATTGTTTATTTTGTGTTTTTTTTGTATCGAGTGGAGTGATGGCGTCATAATGACGTCAGTGGTGATGATAACCAGCGGCATTGTATGCACTTGAATATTCCAGTTTTGCCTAGACGGCTGTGAATCATCATCATCATCATCTTCTTCTTCCTCCTCTCATCATCATCACTATCGTTACTATCATCATCATCATCATCATCATCATCATCATCATCATCTTATTCATCATCTTATTCATCATCAATTTTATATTCATTATTATTATTTTTTTTTTCAAGTTTGGTCTTCACTGGAAGCATTATGGTGAACAGTTACAGGTAGGCTTGCACGTATTTGAATGTGGTAGTCGGAGATCTCCGTGCGTTTGAAACCGACCGATGCAACAGTAGTGCCAGGCGCTATAACCATTCAGCCACTTATTATTATTATTATTACTATTATTATTATTATTATTATTATTATTATTATTATTATAAAAATTGAATGAAAAAAAACAACGACGTGTAAATATTTATTCGTTAAAATATACCAAAGAATAGAAAATTGATTAATTAACTTTTTGGTGCAGTTTCAACATCAACACAACACTCTGAAATGAAGAAGAGTAAAAAAATAATAACAATAATAATAATAATTATTACCATTATAAATATATTTATTTTTTATTATTAATTATGTTCATGTATTCAATTATTATACATACATATGTATATATATATATATATATGTGTGTGTGTGTGTTCGTGTGTGTGTGTGTGTGTGTGCACAAAACAACATCGTAAAAAATATGAAGAATTCTGACAGTGATGACAATAAGAATAACAATAATAATAACAACAATAATAGATGATTATAATAGAGGTTTTTTATATTGTTTTAAGATCAATTCATAACTGAAATGGAATATATATATATATATATATATATATACATATATATATATATATATATATATATTCCATATATATATATATATATATTAAAAATATTTTTTTCAGAAAACTCCATTCAGCCAGTGTTCATAATATTAAACATCGCGAATAGTAGTTTAAAGCACATCTTTCAAGTTATATATATATATATATATATATATATATATATAGTGTGTGTGTGTATATATAGTATGTATATATAATGTGTGTGTGTGTATATAGTATGTATATATAATATGTGTGTGTTTATCTAGTGTGTATATATATATATATATATATATATATATATATATATATATATGTTAGTGTGTGTGTGTTTGTGTGTGTGTGTGCTTGTGTAGTTTGTTTATATAGTATAGTCATACATAAATACATATATATATATATATATATATATATATATATATATATAAAGAAATATGATGATACACATACATATATTTTTATATAGTTTTATAAAGGAACTATATATTATATACATAATTTATATATTATTTATATATTATATATATATATATATTTGAGATCAAATGAGGATGATGATGAAGATGAATGAAAGACCACCTTTCATGTATGGATCACCGGTTTAAAAACCATGCGAAGGGAAACGAATGTAAGAATTTGTGAAATAGATATATAGCATATAAAGTTAAATATGGATTTTATTTTTTCATTCATTCATTTGTTCGTTCATTCATTCATTCATTCATTTATTCATTCATTCATTCATTTGTTCAGTCGTTCGTTCGTTCGTTCATCCATTCATTCATTTCATCCTATCTATATTCATGGTAGTAGTAGTTGTAGTAGTATTAGTTGTTGTTGTAGTAGTAGTTGTTGTAGTAGTAGTAGTAGTTGTTGTAGTAGTAGTAGTAGTAGTTGTTGTTGTAGTAGTAGTATTCGTTGTCGGCAATAGATTGGTTGAGTTAAAATTTTTTTTGCATAGTTTTGAGGAGAATGAATAAAAACCGTTCCAGTTTGTTTTACGCTGATCTCATGATGAGGTTGTTGTCGTTGGGCTATTTATATCTTGTTGATGTTGTTCATGTGGTTGTTTTGGTTGTTGTGGTTGTTGTGGTTGCTGCTGTTGCTGTTGGGGCGGATAACAATTAGACTGATGTTGGTTTTTGACTCTCGTTTGCAGTAGAAATGATGCAAGCTCGCCAAATGACGGCCTCAAAGTGAAGGGCGGTCTTGCTGTTGATGTTGCAGATTGTTGTGGCTGTTGTTGTGGCTGCTGTCGTGGCTGCTGTTGTGGCTGCTGTTGTGGCTGCTGTTGCGGCTGTTGTTGCTGCTGCTGTTGTGGTTTTGTAATTAGTTGGTTTTGTTCAGCTGTCATCGATGGTGCAATTGTTGAAAAGATCTTTGAAGTAGTAGTTGTAGCAGCAGCGGTTGTTGATGTCATTAAAAATAATGTTGTTTCTGATGTTGTAGTTGTTGTTATTGTTGATGTTATTGATGTTAGAAATGGTTTAGCTAATAACGATAGAGTTGTTGTTGTTTGTGTTGGTGTTAAAATATTCTCACACAAATAGGATGATGAATGTCTCAACTGTTTCGCTGCTGCAGCAGCAGATGTTGTTGCTGTAGTTGTAGGGATTGGCAGATTGGGAGGTGCGCAACTCGTGGAATCGAAACTTAAAAAGTTCGTTTTAAATGCATTTAAATCTTTTAATTTCTGTCTACAAGGCTGTTCGCCCCCTGTTTTTAAAAATGGTATCATCCGATGTGCAGTTGGCTCTTGCGACGACAGGTCTATTATAAAATCTGTTGATGGTCTACTGTCGCTGTCGCCGTTGCTGCTGCGAGATGTTGTCGTTGCATATTTTGTTGATGACGGTTGTAGCAATGACGACGACGATGATGAATGATGATGATGTTTGGCTGCAGCAGCAGCAGCAGCAGCAGCAGCAGTAGTAGTAGTAGTAGTAGTAGTAGTACTAGTAGTAGTGGTAGTAGTAGTTCTGAAAAGATCTTTGCTAGTTGATTGTTGCAAGAGGTCTTCGAAGGATTGTGTTGGGTCTATCTGTGTTGAGAGGCTTTTGTGTAAGGTAGTTTTTGTGTTTTGTTGCGGCAACAATGTTTTTGTTGTTGATCTTTGTTGTTTATGTTGTTGTTGCTGTTGTTGGGGATTAATTTCTCGTTGCTGGCAAGATGGCGCACTTTTGAATAGATGTTCATGATGTTGTTTGGTAGGCTGCTGATGTAGCTGCTGCTGCTGATGTAGCTGCTGCTGCTGATGTAGCTGCTGCTGATGTTGTTGTTGCTGTTGATGTGCAGTCGAGAAAAAATGGAAAAATTTTGATCCGGAATGCTTTTGATTTTGGTCGAGAAATGATTTATTCAGTTGTGATTGGCTGGAATGTAGCGTCTGTTGGCGAGGTAACGCAGACAACTTCAGCCGTTTGTTGTCAACATTTTGTTGTTGTGGATGACTGGTTGTTGTTGTCGTTGTTGGCAGACTATGTTGTTGCTGCTGTTGCAGTAGCAGATGTTTTGAACGCCGTAGTGGCGATGGCGTTTTAACGAACGGTTGTTGCTGCTGATGCTGTTGTAGCTGCAGCTGCTGAAGTTGCTGTTTTTGCTGCTGCTGTTCCTGTTCCGGTTGGGTTGTTGCGGGCGACAAGGAATTTTTCAATAGCAGGAAGATGGATTTTATATCTTTGCTTATCTGCTTGACTTCGTTGTCTATGTTGGAGACCTGGCGAATAATGTGAAAATGCTTTCTTCAGAATTATATCCGTCTATAAAAGTTTGCCAGTTTTATTTTTTTAAATTTTAATAAATAAATAAAATCAATTTATAATAATTTACTAATCAATGAATAAATTAAACAATCAATTAATTCTATTTTTAATGACATAAAAAAACAATTTTTGAACTATAGTCCTTCAAACTACACCTTTTTCTCTAGCTTGGTCAGGCGTCTGGAGGTATCATCCGTTTCAATTTTCTGGGATTTCCCGAAATCACCATCATCATTATCATCATCTTTATTATCATCATTATCTTTACCTCTATCATCATTATCATCAGCTTTTTTAGCACTACTATCATTATTGTCGTCATCTCTGTTGTTGGTGTGATCAGTTTTGGCGACGAATTTGTTAAAGATATTTTTAATATTTTTATCGTAGTTATTGGTATTTTTGATAGTTTCGTTCTCGATATTTTCATGTCTTCCATGTTTAGTAGTTTCGCTTTCGTTATTGTAAATAAATTTTTTCAAAGAGTGTCGTCTATTTTTATCAACCACGTGACTTTGTGACGTAACGCTGCCAGGACATACTATAAATAAAATTGAAAATGCCATCTTAATTTTTAAAAAACAAAGAATTATTTAATTTTGAAATTACTTAATCAAACATTGAAAGCTAATAAATAAGTAAATAAATAATTAAAAACTAGAATAATAGACAAAATGATGAATTCAGTTTGAAGAATTGAACTTTGACCTTTTGAGCAGCTAAGGGTAACTTGACGGTTCATCTTACGCCTAACGAACGGTTCATTTCTATACTTCCCAGCATGTTGGGCCGTTGTTGCAGATGATTTTTTTGATGAGGTCACGTCAATAGAGTGAGATCTTTTATGTTTCAGTTTGTTTGTACTGCTGCTACCGCTGCCGACGGCCGCGTTTCTGCCGCTGCTACTGCTGCTGCAAATTACACTTTTTAATAGATGGGTCTTATCGTTGGCGTTTTTACAGCTGTTGTCGTCGTCATCGTCGCCGTCGTTGGCGTTATCGGCCTCATCATTTTTGGCATCTTTGTCATCGTTTCCGTCTTTCTTCGCAATGGTGACATCTTCATCTTCTTCGTCATCTCCATCCTCATTTTCATCTTCTTCCTCCTCGTCTTCATCATCTCTTGACCTTTGACCCCTCAGTAGACTGGCCGCATCTCCGTCACCCACCATCATCATCTGGTGCTCGCTTCCTTCCTCCTCCGAGATTGTGGGGAGCGTGATTGCCGGCGCGAAAATGGCATCTTCGTCGTCCGGGTCAACGAAGCCCTCCCTCAAATTGTAGGCCAGGTCGGTTAGGAGGTCGTTCGAGTACTGGAGGTAGAACTCCGGGTACAACCTTAAAACATTTTTCAATCCGGCAAAGTTGATGCACTGCAGGTCGCAGTAGGTCAGGGACTTGACGTCGCAACTCGATTTCGAAACCGCTGCCGACGGCATTGGTGTTGGAGGAGGCGAGGATGACGACGACGTTTGCTGCTGTTGCTGCTGCTGTTGCTGTGTAACTGAGATGATGTCGGAACCGAATAGATCGCCTTTGCCTGTAATGACGATCATGAAAATGATGATGATATATACAACAGCGTAGTGGGTAAAGTGCCTGCCACAGACGTCGCACTGACCCGGTTTGAATACACAGGAATATCCACCTACCACACGTGTGATTTACAAATATTTTTACACACGCACACACATACACGCTGAAGAAAAAATTGTGAAAAACTAATCGTAACGAAGAAAGACACAACCAATCTACAAGCAGCAAACTTTCCCGCCAAAACTAACTCAAGATGGCGACGACGACGCCCATCTTTAGAACCTCAAGGGAGCCATTGGTGATGTAATAGACGAACCCTATGACGTCACCCTTCCTTATTATGAACTCACCTGGCGCGCAGAACATCGGCTTTACCTGAAGTTCAGATTTTTAATATCATTATGAAAATATCCAAATATTATGAAAATATCCAAATACTAAAAAACATAATTAGTCAATTAATTACTTTCGAAGTAGCAAAAGTTTTTATAGTAACAGCAGTAGTAATAGTAGTGGTACCAGTAGTAGTAGCAGCTGTAGAAGTAGAGTTGAAGTAGTAGTAGTAGTAATAGAGTTGGAGTGGTAGTAGTAGTAGCAGTAGCAGTAGTAGTAGATGTAGTAGTAGTAGTAGTAGTAGTAGTAGTAGTAGTAGTAGTAGCAGTAGCAGTAGTAATAGTAGTAGTAACAGTAGTCGTTGTAGTAGTAGCAGTAGCAGTAGTAGCAGTACTACCACACTACTAATACTAACAGCGCAGTTAGTAAATTTATTACTGTGGTTATGAAAGCGGCGGCGGATGTGGTAGCTTCTGCGACCACCGCAGTCTATTTGCGAATGAAGAATTGAGGGGAAGCGAGAACCATTAGCCGTGACAGTAACGATAATGGTCATGATAATGATAACGATAATAATAATAATAATAACAACAAGAACAAAAAACAACTACTACTACAACTAATACAACGGTGATAATGATAAATTTGGCGATGATGACGAAGACGATGATGAAAAAGATGATGACGTTGTTGTTGTTGTTGTTATTGTTGTTGACGATAACAACAGCTACGACGACCGTGACGTCATAATGACGTCATAATGACGACAACAACAACAACATCAACGAACACTAAACGAACATGGGCATTTAGCATATTTACTCCATTTCCAACGGCAATAAAAATTGAAATTAACAATAAATGCAAGTCCGAACAACAAAATAACAACAACCACAACAACAACCACAACCACAACAACAACAACAACAATAACATCAATAACAACAGCAATTGCGACAACCATGACAATAACAACAATAATAACAATAAAATTAATAACAGAATTCCGGTAGGCATTCATTGGCATGGTCTAAATAAATAATGACACCGGCAAAAGCTCTGGGTGGTCAGTTTATTATTATTATTATTATTTATTATTATTGTTGTTATTATGATTTTATATTTGAGAACGCCTAATGGATTATGGTGACGTATTTAATGGCGCTAAAAATGATGAAGACGACGACGATGATGATGATGGTGATGGAGATTGTGATGATAATGAAGAAGAAGATGATGATTATTATTATAATAATAATAATAATTATTATTATTATTATAATAATAATAATTATTATTATTATTATTATAAGATAGTAACTTTCATTTAAACGAAATTTTAGCCGCCCGCCTAGCTATAATTTATTTATCATCGCGTGTTTGATTCTTGAGAAAAATTAATTTTTAACACCAATAGTCACGCCATCATAGTTATTTTAATTATTTATTCGTTTCGTTTTCATCTTTCTTTCTATCATTTGTATCCTCTTTTGTATCATATCTATCTTTCTTTCTATCATTTGTATCCTTCTTGCTATCATTTTCGTCTATTATCATATTATTTATTTTATACTCACTGTAACCACCAACATCACCATCGTCGTCGTCATCATCATTATCAATATCATCATCATCATCCTCATCTTTACCACCACCATCACCATCATCATTTTCTTCAACATCATCGTCATAATCATCATCATCATCATCATCTTCTTCACCATCACCATTATCCCCATCATCATCATCATCTTCTTCACCATCACCATTATCCCCATCATCATCATCATCTTCTTCACCATCACCATTATCCCCATCATCATCATCATCTTCTTCACCATCACCATTATCCCCATCATCATCATCATCTTCTTCACCATCACCATTATCCCCATCATCATCATCATCTTCTTCACCATTACCATTGCCATCTTCATCATCCTCACCACTCCTACCTGCATAGCAATGGCTTTGAGACAGCCCTGACTGATACCGTTAAAGATGGGCAGTGATAGTATCTCCCTGTATAAATGAATGGCAACATCGCCCTGCATCTCTAGAGGGAAGTCCCTTATCACCTAGCGAGGAGTGACATGATACTAAATGTATGATACTGCTAGAATAAATACTTACAATGTTAGGGTCAGAGCTAGATTAGACGGTGGCAATGCTAGATACAAAGAGCGATAATGTTAGACATAAACAGCACCCATCATCATCTTCATCATCATCTTCATCTTCATCATTTCCATCATCATCTCCATCATCGTCATCTCTATCACATTATCCCGTCATCGTCACGAGATGACGTCATCGTGATTAACGACAAAACAATCGCCAACTTCCTGCGGGTCAATGCCGCTGTTCAGCGACCAGGTAGTTTGGAAGTACTCTTGCATACGCTGTTTTAGCGGTCTGGGGATGTGATGCGTGCGAAAGAAATCCTTCAAGTCCTGGGTCTTCGTTTGGTAGATGGCTCGTCTGGCATACATCCTCTGTATGATGGCTGTCACGTTCCCAAACACCAATGCGTGCATGAGGGCTGTTGATTTTATGATTGTTTTAATTCATAATTGTTGCCTTTGCTATAATTAGTATACTTTTAACGTTGTTTAATTTGATTAGTTGAAAATTCAAGACTACAGTCGAAACTTTCACAGATATTTCACAAGCAGCACAGTCAGCCGACCTCCTATGAGCATAGCCACTACGGAGAATATCTTCTCAGAATTAGTGTTGGGCGCGACATTACCGAAACCGACACTGGTCAGGCTCGTGCAGGTGAAATAGAGAGCTGACACGTACATACTCGTTATCGACGGTACGTTAGCTGTTCGGTTAACGATCGGAGAATCGAGTTTCTCGGATAGTTGGTACAGCCATCCTAGTAAATATTATTTTTAAAAATTTTCATCAATAATAATTGTATTGATTTATAAATTAAAAATTTCATCTAGTTTTTAAACAGAAATCGATTCAAGCCAAAACCGTATCACACGGAAACCGATCAACCAACCGAACCGACTAACCGACGGTCCAATCCGGCTCATTCATGAGTTCTTGCAGACCGATACAGTACCAGATGCAGGCCAGCCAGTGGGCCAACACGCCGAACATGGCCATGAGAAGAGTGAGGACGACGAAGCTGTACTGGCTGAATCGGTCGAGTTTCGACATCAACCGAGCCAGTCGGAGCAACCGAGCCACTTTCGATAAATGCAATGCGTTCTGTTGTGGATGCATGGATGGGTAATTGACATAAATGAAAGAGAACAAGAGAGAAAAAGAAAGAGAGAAGAAGAGGAAAAGAGAGAGAGAGAAGGGAAAAGTAAGAGAAAGAAATAAGAAAAGAGATAGATTGAATAAGAAATTGTTGGAGATGGATAGAAAAATTAAAACAAATGACGAAAGAAAAAGAGAGAAAGAAAGAAAGAGAAAAATGAGAAAATAATGAAAGAGAAAGAGAGAGAGAGAGAGAGAAAGTAAAAGAGAGAAAGAGAAAATTGAAGAAATATAAAAAGCTAAAAAACGTAAATTGTTTGAATAGCAGCGAAATGAAAACGAGGAAAAGCAGTAGGAGAAGCAGACGAGAATGCAAATTTGGAGGAGGAAAATACAAACGAATGAATGAATTAAAAACCCAACAAACCAACAAAAAACGGATAAATGAATGAAAGAACAAACAAATGAAGGAAAGAACAAACAAATGAATGAAAGAACAAACCAATGAATGAAAGAACAAACAAACAAATACACGAACGAACGAACNGAATGAAGAAAGAAAAGAAGAAAAAGAATATTTGTTAGTTTAGCGTGACTTGAATACATATAGATTATAGGAACACTAAAAATACAAGTGCATTATACGCACACACACACACACACACACACACACACACACACCATACACACACACTTACACACGCACACATGGCATAATATATTTGCAATTAGAAGCAGACGCGTTTCGAATTTATTAGTTCATACATTCACAATTCAATTTGCTATGTTAGCGCGTCCATCCAAACGGTCTGTCGTTCATATGAAAAGATATTAATAAATATATGACCAGACGAATGAATGAATGATCAACCAACCAACCCTAACCCCACCCAATCAACCAACCAGCCAATCAACCAACCAGCCAACCAACTAACCAATCAACCAACCAGCCAATCAACCAATCGACTAACTGATTGATCGACCAGCCAACCAATCTACCAACCAACCGTTTGAACACTGAAGGCGTACAAAAGGTCAAAGGGTATGGCGGCCAGGAGGTCAAGGAGGAACCAGCCCCGGAAATAGTTAAGGGCAATTAGGCGAGATTCATAAACAACTTGGCCAATCTTGTTTACGTACGTCGTTCGAAAATTGAGCATTATATCTGATTGGTTGATTGATTGGTTGATTAATTGGTTAGTTGATTGAATGATTGAATGATAAATTTATTTTTCCTACTTCTAATTTCGCCCTCTCTAATAACTTCACTGCACTCGTACATATCATTCGTTGAAAAAACCAAAACAACAACAACAACAACAACAGCAACAACAACAATAATAATAATAGCAATAAAGTCAATAATAATACAGCACTAGCAACAACATTCCGGCGGCTATTAAACGACTCCATTAATGCATCGTCTTTTCATTTGTCCGTTCGTCAGATTCGACGAACCACATAGCAAGGAAAGTGAATGAGTGATTGAATGAATGAATGAATAAATGAATGAGTGAGTGAGTGATTGAATGAATGAATGAATGAATGAATGAATGAATGAATGAATGAATGAATGAATGAATGAATGAATGAATGAATGAATGAATGATTGAATGAATAAATGAATAAATGAATGAGCAAACAAACGATTAGAATAATGAAGTAATAGAAAATTTAACATGTAAATAAATATCTAATACATAGTACATTAACAAATATTAAATTAATTAAAACATTGCGTCAACCAATCAATCAACCAATCAATCAATTAGTTAATCAATTAATTAGTTAACTAATCAACAATATAAGACATCAATCAACCAATCGATCAAAATCAATTAACTTATCGACAAAATTAAATCAATCAACCGATCAGATCAAAGCAACAGGTCAGCAACCAACCAATAATAAAAAGCATCTCCACTATGACGTCACTGACGATTGACGTTCGAACGCTGTTTCCGCTACTACCTCCACTACTACTACTACTACTACTACTACTACTACTACTACTACTACTACTACTACTACTACTGCTACTACTACTACTAGTAATACTACTACCGCTACTGCTGCCGGTTATACTATAATTATCATTGTCGTAAATATTACTAATATTACTATCAAGACCAACACCACCACTACTACTATTACTACGGCTGCTGCTGCTGTTGTAGTTGTTTGAAGTTGTTGAAGTAGTGGTAGTAGTTGTAGTAGCGTCAGTGTCGAAATTGTCGTTGACAAACGCTGCATTGTACGGTACTGTGATGGCTATGTAGAATGTGCAGAGTAGTATCAGCCAATCCCATCCTGAGTTGTGATGATGATGATTGTGATGATGATGATGATTGTGATGATGTTGATAATGATTGTGATGATGATGATTGTGATGATAATGATTACGGAGGGTTGTGGTAGAGAGGTTGGTGATGGTGAAGATGACGACGACGATGAAGTTATAACGATATTAAATTTACCACCGTTATAAATCACCATCTTATTAATACTGCCATTCTGTTAATTGAAATATTTATAATAATGATAATAACAATAACAATAATAACAATTATGATTATAAATAATAATAATAATAAAATGATGTAGCGCGCAAATAAAACTTGAGATGGTTTACCAAAAAAAAATTAATGACGAGAAGAAAAAAATTAAATTGTCTTCCTTCGTTCAATGGCCGGCGATATTTGGCCACGGAGACAAATATTTACCGAATCAATAAGAGTACAAACCCAAATACACACGCGCACACACCCAAATACACACGCGCACACACACACACACACAGTCATACACACACATACATACATACACACATACAAACCCACAGTTATGTACACACATACATACATACAGTCACATACACACACATTTATATATATATATACACAAACATACATACATACATATATAACCTATTTTGAATATTCCGTAATGAGTTATGATGAATCGAGATTTTTCTTTACTCTGTCCTTTGTGATCAAACGGATCTTCCGCACCGGAAAGGGTTTTTATTTGCTGGAGGTGATGATGACGATGATGGTGATGATGATGGTAATAGTACTGATGATGATGATGATGATGATGATGATGATAATGACGATAGAAATGATGATGATGGCGGTGATGTTGGCCACAGCTATAAAATTTCAGAGATAATGAAGTTTGTTTATTTATCTTTGTTGGTCAATTTTTGTTGTCCGTTCGTCAAAAGGCGTGTTTGTATGTTTGTATAAGTGTATGTGTGTTTGTATGTTTGTATAAGTGTATGTGTATTCGTGTTTGTATGTTTGTGTGTTTGTATGTTTGCACTCAGTTTTGGATGAGGCAGTCCGTGACAAGTTATTTAAACCGTTCATTTAGATAGAGAATGCCAAATGTCAATCTGATATGTTTGCGTATGTTTGCGTGCGTGTGTACGTGTGTGTGTGTCTCTCTCTCTCTTTCTCTCTCTCTCTCTTTCTCTATCTCTGTGTGTGTGTGTGTGAATGTATGTATGTATGTGTGTACATGTGTATAAGTTTACAATGTAGCAGTTATC